ATCTGTGCTTACGAAGCCTATTGCGTCGACTACCGCTTACCTGTGCACAACGATAAGCGCATTTGCAGTGATATTGAGCTCATTCAATCTGGAATCTGGAGACTGTATTAGAACTGTCCTCACGATGATTCCCACTTCAAGCTAAGTCACGATGATCAGCATAGTTGTGTGGAGAGATCCAGGATAGCGGTGGAAACTAATCTGACTACAGTTCAACAGAAGGAGGGGACTTCCAGACCTGGCATGCTCTAAGATCTATGGTCTGAAGTGCCATTTCATTTGATAGTTGGCCCCCTTTAGTTGTCATCTGTGACACTCTTAGAGCGTGTTCGTATATTGACAATATTCTGTGGTCCGTTGTGTTGCTTTTCCTTTCGAGGCATCCAGGGTTTACATTTTCAATAGTATAATTCTTGGGACGCATACGGCAATTATTTCTACTGGTTATCTTCGTGCTTATGAAACGCTTCCCTGCCAGGTAAATCACCAAATCTCTCTCTTATAGGATATGTTGAGGGTCTAATGAGTTGGCGTCTATGGTCATTCCAAGATGTCGTCGATCTACTCGACAATTGGAGAAATTTGGCAAGATGTCCCGCAGGAAGTCCTTCACAAACTCTATTAATCATTACCAATATATGTGGGCCAACATCTTGTGCAATTATTTGCGATTTGTAACTATATCTCCTGATTAAAAATTCAGTTCCTTTGAAATTAAAATTATTTCTTTTCCCATACATATACATCACTGAATTTCGTCCTATTCGGATAATAAAGTGGGGAGAAGGAAGATAGTTTAATGTCCAGAACAACCTACTTATCTTTCTATTTAAATTGCACATATACACTCTTTTGCAAAAAAAAATCGAAGCACCAAGAAGGACTTTTGCAATCGAGACGAAATTTGGTGTGCAAAAACATCATCATCGAACATGCAAATGATCAAAGTTTCAACGGAAATGAACAGGAATTGCCACCATAGCGCGCATTTCTAATGCGCAACTCGCAAAGTATAAAATCAGTAACAGAAGAAGAATTTTTTTTTTTTTTTTTGGTTGCTGCTATTGTAATTCCGTAAAGAAGCAACTAAAGATGCCAATACGACGATATCGAAGACCTTACAGACAACTAAACGACTTCGAACGTGGGCGTATTGTAGGGTTGCGTGAAGCTGGGTGGTCATGCCGAGCAATAGGCGGCAGCGTACAGACATTACTGTGCAAAGATGTTTGCAGCAATGGTTGCTACAAGGAAACTGCCGACGAAATGCAGGCTCTGGAAGGCCAAGGAGCACAAATGCGAGGCAAGATAGGATGATTGTTCGCCAGGCCCGAACCGCTTCAACGGTATCATTGTCGACTATTCAACCCACTACAGCCACGTCTATACCTCCCATAGTACCGTCCATCATCTCACGGCGCTTGTTTGAGGCGGGGTTACGCTCACAGAAGCCTTTAAGACGTTTGCCTTTGACCCCATAACATCGGTGGTGTCGTCTGGAGTGGTGTCGCAGCCGATCATCAGCTGCCATCAGACTGGCATAGTATAGTGTTCAGGATAAATCCCGCTTCACTCTTGAAGCAGATGACCACCGTGTTCGTGTCTAGAGAGGACGGGGCCAGAAGTCCCAATCACCCTTTCCTTTACAAAGGCATACAGCCATAACCCCTGTTGTAATGGTGTGGGGCGCTATTTCTTATGACAGCAGGTCATCTTTAGTCATCCTCCGTACATCTTTAACAGCTCAATGAAATGTTGATATCATCTTGCGTTGCATTACTCTTCATAGCACGTCGTTCTGGGGCCATTTTCGAACAAGATAATGCCATACCACATACCGCTCGCATATCTCTGGACTGTCTCCGTGCGGTTGATACTCTTCCTTGGCCAACAAGGTCACCAGACCTTTCACCAATCCAGCATGTCTGGGACATGGTAGGCCAGCAGATTCGGGCACCACAAAATATCGCAGATTTGGAGTGATAACTGATGAATGAATGCCTGGCAGAATGTGTCGCAGGATGACATTAGGAACCTCTACCACTCCCTGTCTCGACGAATTCAAGCATGCATTGACGCCAGGAGCAGTTCGACCAACTACACTCAATGGGTAATTGTGAGCCGTGAACAGGTACTATATGACCTTGATTTTTTAATCAATTTATTATCTGTGTATGAGCTATACACATATTCAATTTCATCAAAAACAACCACTTCCTTCATGGTGCTTCGATTTTTTTGCAAAAGAGTGTATATGTAATGAAAGCAGAATTTTGGAAGCACTGATGTAAGAACACTGAGATGTAGAAGTAATACTTAGATGAGATGTAGAAGTAGAAGCGTAGCAGTGTTATTTAGCGTAGATACTTGTTCCATATTAAAGAGGAAAAAGTCGAGCCGGATTAATTTCTCTCTCTCTCTCTCTCTCTCTTTTTTTTTTTTTTTTTTTTTTTTTCTTATTTAAAATCACATTTGTGTCCACACTTCATTTGGCTCTCCAATCGTGCCTATATTTCCAGAACTTTTACATTTTTGATAATATGGCGATAGAAGCGAGCATAGCGAAGCATCCGCGCAACACGGAAATTGGAGCGAAAAGTAACGCGCCAATTCAGAGGAAGAAGGGAGGGAGTCAAAAGTTAAGTTCAAATTAAAAAGTTTTGGTTTACAATTTGTGATTGATTAAGGGGTATTTGCATTAAGCGTTACGTAGGATCGCATGATTATTTATTTAGGACGCAGTCCGGCCCGCCTGACGAGCGAAGCTCTTCTTATGACACGAAGGAGCTGCGCCCATTTTACACACACAAACACACACACACACAAATACAATAGTAAATCAAGCCATAAAACAAACAAACATCGTCTTATTGGTTTTTATAGTACAAAGCTTGTGTATAGGAATTGATAGTTGACACTTTGGCGTGTCCAGATTTATCCATTTTATCTGTAATTTCCGTATTATGTAGATATGCATTTTTCAGGTTATCAAGAATTGTAATTAGTTTTCCTTGCAATCTTTGTTGGTATGATGTACTTTCCATTTTTTCTAAGTTTGATGATTTTGATACTATTATCATATTGTTTATTAATGTAGTTTCTATTATTAGTTATGTAGGATCGCATGACTTATAGGGGTATTTTTAAGACAGGGTAAGTCCCCATATTAAATAAAAAATAAATGACGTTACAGCCAATTAAAACTAGAAGTCCGCTTTTATATTTTTTTTATCTTGTAAAATATAACAAAATACGATGGCTGCGCTAGAACAGATTAGCGACCTCAAAATCGGGTGTTCTAGATTTTGTGTTCTCCCCGTAAATTTATCTGTTCTCCTGTATCTCCCAAATTTGAGATCTTTTCATGTTACATAATAACCTAAAATTAACCAGTGTACCTTAGTTGTACTTCTGCACCTACCTCGTGTAAATAGCTATCCCCTTTTCGCCGAATACTGTTATGAGTAACTAGTATATATTTAGAATTTTATATATATATAATTAAATCGTGTTTTTTAACATTTTTTACATGAAGAATTGGGTATAGAACAACTTAAGTGTTTTTATTGCCGGCTCGCCCGGAACTTTTATGCCAATCTTATTAATATCATCAACCCTGGTATAAGGATTTACGATTACGACTTTAATGACCCAAATAATAGAAAACGGCCTATAGCCATACTTAGTACCCATATTGTATAACTTATTTAATCTGTTATGTACCTCTTAATAGTGTGTTGTAGATTTAAGGTTTAATTATTACTAGTGGACCAAGAGACTCACACTGCTAAGCCTATTATTTATATGAATGTTATGAATTTTTTTTCTGCATCAGGCTATAGCTAGCTCATTACTCCTTTCTCGACTTTCCCAGATAGTACTTCAGGTGTATTGAAACTTGACGCACACGTTAGTCTTTTTAGAAATTTAACTTTTAATTTATCTCTTATCTTATATCTATTCTGTCTTAGGACACGATTTTGTGCCTGTTGCAATTTTTTTCTATAAGATTTGCATGACTATACCCAGATCGGGCAGGAATAGCATAGTATGGAACGCAATACGAATTTATATATAAGCAACTTGTTGTTTATTGAAAGTACACTGTTTCGAGAAATTAAGGGGTGAAGTGTGACTTTTCTAACTCGAAACTTATTAAGGATATATGTTATGTGTGGATGATAGAGTTTTACTGAGGATCACCCCAAGATAAAGGACTTGCTTGGCCCATGGGATGACTTTTCCAAAGAGTTGCAGGTTTTGGTTGAATTTAATCTTCTTGGTTAACAGAATTGCTTGAGTCTTGTCCACATTAAGTTTGATTTTCCATTTTGTCAGCCGAGTATGTTTATGTAGTCTTGTAGTCGTTGTATTACTGGGCTAACAAATGCACTTTGTGAGAGGATCGCAGTGTCATCAGCATACATTGCGAGTGTTGTGTCCTGTGTGGTGGGAATGTCGTCCACGTAGATATTGAATAAGGTAGGTCCATGAAGACTCCCCTGGGGAACCCTAACAAGGATTGCCCTACGTGTTGAGAGTGTATTTGAGACGCGAACGACAAAGTGTTTACCGGTTAGGTAGAATTTAACCGTATTTGTAATGTAGCCTGGGAAGCGCAGGTTGTGTAGCTTGTAGATGAGTGCGTCCAGCCATACATGGTCGAAGGCTTTTGCTATGTTTAATAGCAGTCCTCCTGTAACTTTCTTTTTCTGTAGCCCTTCACTGGTAAGTTCCACAACACGGTATAGCTGGTTCACCGTAGAATGTATGCTTCGGAATCCGAATTGGTGAGGAATGATGATGCTATTCTGTTCCAGATGTTGATTAACCCATTAACTGCCAAATTTTTGTTTCATCAATTTTTATCTTATTTCTGTTAGTTTACATCTAAATAATAAGAAAAATATGTTTTTCTCTTAAATGCGTCAATGGGTTTTCAGAAATTTTAAATTTAAGTCCGATCCCCAAATGGGGATCATGGCTGATACTATCCACTTTTAATGCCAGCGTTCAAAACAGTCTACGTGTAATCCAACATTACATTTGCCACATTGTTTTCTTGCATTTGTTTTGCACACTGCACATTTTCTTTGTTTACCATTTTCGGTCCGTTCAATATAATGATTACCAGATGTTCGGATAACAGTAGGAACACGATTAATTGATGCTTTAGTGAAAGAATTCCTTCCACCCGTTTTTGCATCTGAGAGTTCTGAAGATAAAGCAAGATATCCTCTAGCAACCATCCTCCTAAAATCTAGCAATGGAATTTTATCATTTGAAATACAATACAGTGCGTGAGCGTTAACCAGTGTTATCTCGATGGCATTAGTAAGAAAAGGAAAATACCATTTCCCCCCCCCCTTATTCTGATTCTGTATTTTTGAACATTCCAATCTCTTGTCTACCCCACCCATGTATTTGTTATATTCTGATATCAGTTTGGTTTGTGGTACTTGAATATCTGTCTTCTCTGTTCTACTCCATTGCTTCATCTCTGATATTGGTTCGATAGTTTCATGATTAGACAGAAGCCTTACACAACTGTTGTCATTCCACGTGACAGCTAAAATTTCATTACGGGAACCAAATCTGTAGTCATATACCCCGCGTTCTTTTTTCCTTATCTCTTTGTCTGTTGCAATAGGGCGTTTGTTCATTCTGTTGAATCGAACAGTTCCTGTTTCTCTAACGTCAATGTCCTGCAAATATTTCACCAGAGAAAATCCCGTGAAAAAACTGTCGAAGTAAACTTTATGAGGCATTGTGGTGTCTGAAGAATAGATACCATCTGAAGGGACAACATATGTTCCAAGCCCACTAATGCTTTCATCATCTCCTAATTTCTTTGATTTGCCTTCATACAATTGAGTTTGATAAACAATATCCAGTCTGTGAACAACAGATAGCCCATTGCTTGAACCCAAACCGCACTGGCTTACCACGTATAAATTGTTTGAGGTAGTGATGGTCATAGTAACGAACCATTTGTTCGTCAATGCTCAAACTTTCAGAAAACACCCCAAATTGTTGAAATTTGTCATTCAGCTTGTCAATCAATGGGCGAATCTTGAAGAGGTTATCACGTTCACCTAGTGGAATCCTTTCTAAATCGGAGTTGTCACTGATATGTAGGTACCGTTTAATTTCCAGATACCTATTCCGACTCATGCATGCTCTAACACACAGAATGTTCATGTCTTCATCTTCACACCAATATAATTGTTCTTGCGGAAGTGAATGATAGCCAGTGAAAAGAAAGTATTCCAATAAATGTATTTTAGGCAGTTATTAGAAAGCTGAAATTGATGATTGTTTTTCTGTCTGGTCGTATATTACAGACTGCTGGACAATATAGGTGACAGTTTCATTATCAAAAAGTATTTCAAAACACTCTACCTGGGGATTTTTCCCCTGAGTTTTCTAATGACATCATTTCGCCTTGTCTCTATAACGTCAGAATTTTCATATAGTTTCGAGTACTTAGGTTGATCTTTTTTCCAACTGAAAGTCAATACTTCTTTTCTCTTTTTAGCAGGTAGTAAGCTGGTACATTTTGTTACTTCATTAGCTGAAGATTCAGTTGCATTCACTAAAACATTTGCCTCAAATCCTGCCACACGGTGAATTTCAACACACCCGGGAACATCAAGTGGTTCTTCATCATCAATTACGTTGTCATCCATGTCCTCATTATCAGAAATTTCATCAACCCGCTTTGGTGAAATTTCAAACAATATCTATGGGGCTATTATCGTCGTCATCGTCAGATGCAAAAAAATCATCAGAATTTACAATTTCTTCTGTTTCTTTTAAAAAAAGATATCTTTTACGCGACATTTCCTGGAAAAAAAGAAAAACAGTTATTTTTACAATTTTAGTCAGTATCAGCCATGATCCCCAAATGGGGATCGATATATCTAGGTTCATTGTACCCATCCAAATTACAGTATGAGGCTAAATAATATATAAATACATTAATTACTTACCAATGATCAAGGCAAATTCAGTACAACAAAAATAGTTGTTCCTAAGTAACTTTTTTGTGCTTTGAAAATAACTGTATTATTTTTCTCGTGAAAAGTAACGAGAGAACAAGAAAAATAAACTCGTGAGCTCAACTAACTGAGTCCACGTGTTTGTTTAAGATTTTCTACCCTTAGTTGCAATCTTCAGGAAAGCATAACCACCCGTAAGGGACCACCCATGTGCAGCATGACGTCACAATGTATACAAATGTAGGTGATTCCCAAATGGGGATCGATATATCTAGGTTCATTGTACCCATCCAAATTACAGTATGAGGCTAAATAATATATAAATACATTAATTACTTACCAATGATCAAGGCAAATTCAGTACAACAAAAATAGTTGTTCCTAAGTAACTTTTTGTGCTTTGAAAATAACCGTATTATTTTTCTCGTGAAAAGTAACGAGAGAACAAGAAAAATAAACTCGTGAGCTCAACTAACTGAGTCCACGTGTTTGTTTAAGATTTTCTACCCTTAGTTGCAATCTTCAGGAAAGCATAACCACCCGTAAGGGACCACCCATGTGCAGCATGACGTCACAATGTATACAAATGTAAATGATCCCCATATGGGGATCATGGCAGGGAATGGGTTAATCCTGGTTAGTAGTTCAGCCTCCATAATTTTGCTAAGTGAGGATAGCAGACTTATCGGGCTGTATGACTCTAGTGAGCTTGCAGACTTTTTGGGTTTCAGAATTGGTGTGATTTGAGCCAATTTCCAACTTTCCGGTAAATGCTGCCATCTGAGTGTAACCTTTGTTAAGAACAGTAGGATATCAACTGGAAATCTCTTGATCACTCTATTGTTTATGGTGTCATAACCAGGGTTCTTGTTGTTCTTCAGCTTTTTAATGTAGGAGCAAACCTCCGACGCTATGAGTAGGATCGTGTTGTCATATCTAAAATTATGGGTGCGTTTAGCACCTCTAATCTTCTACCGGTTATGAAGATATGTGCTAAGAAATTCATCATCCAGAAATAAATTATATTTAACTATCAAGTTGGCCGTGCTTTTTCTGAAATTCCATTGGATCATTCCACTACGTCGCAATTTTCAATCATGTGTCATATGATTTTTATATACCGCTCATAACGAATGAACTTAAATAATGGCAGAAGGTCTTTTATCTAAAAATTCTTCCAAGCAGTAGAACAGCAGAAACAAAATCCAGTATCTATATTGTATGCTCAACTTTTCTTTCTTTCTAACATATATTGGGTCGTTTATCTTTCTAACTTCAGATCTATTATAAATCTATAAAAAACAATGTAATTACTGAAGAGGAGCTTATTTTACGCCAATCTAGATGCTATTTTTAATTCAAGAATAAAGAAGAAGCCTGTCATCACTATAATTAATTATATTGTAATGAATTTTGTATATATGCAAATACTTTTAGTCAAATTATGTATGAAATTGTAGAATCTCAAATATATTGTAATATGAAAAGTCTAAAGAGAGCTTTGAGGGTAAAATAAGATTTATAGGGGCAAGTCTATTTAACATTGAGGTAAATGACTATCTCGCTAAATTAGCGAGTGGCGACAAATCTCCAAAAACTGTCACCTATCCGGCCCTTATATGTAATTTTATCCGTATATGCCTTCGAGAAATGGAAGGTACTAGAGATTTCGGAGAAAATTATATACGACCTGGCGGCTGGGTTAAAGTTATATAAGATCGGAGAGAGCATCAGCTCTCAGCTGTTTAGTTCAGCGTTGAGTTCGGAGTATTCAGACATCTTCGAGAGCTTTGCCTTGTGCTTTGCTGAACGACATCACGAAGAAAGACAGCTTCCTAAAACTGATGACATTCTGGACGCTTACTGAAAGCAAGTGATATTCGATGCTTAACTTAAAGAGTGCATATTCGGAGATAGAGATACACACTCATGAAAAAAAAAAAAAAAGAAGAAGAAGAAGAAAAGAAAAAGACGGCATTTACTACTGGAAAAGAAATTTTTCATTTCAAGATGATCCCGTTTGGGTTAGGTAATGCGCCGGTAACATTGAAGGGGTTTGATGATCGTGCTGAGAGCTCTCTGTCTGACGTCAGTATAGTTGGAAAACGTTTTGAACAACATTTAGAAAATCTTGAAAAGGTACTTCAGAAACTGAAGGAAGCAAATATAAAGTTCAAGTTCCGCCAGATATAATTGTTGAGATGGGAAGTCATTACCTCGGACATGTCATCTCTGCCGATGTCTCCGTACGGATCCAGAAAAACTGTCGATGGTTAAAAGTTGTAGACTCCTCCGAAAATTTGCATCAGCTGAGAAGTTTCCTGGGGCTTCGCACCTGCTATAGTATATTTGTGAAGGATTTTTCTTCTATCGCAAGAACCTTTTAGTAGCTGATCTAAAAGTTCTTGCGGACAAAACAATGAGAGGATGCTGTGGTGTAGTGACTGAAACCCCTACACAAACCTCGGGTTGTAATAGAGAGTTGAAATGAACTTCAAACTTAAGTTCTAACAATAACATGAATTTTAATAAAAGATAAAAACATTAACAGTTGCTATTCTTGAATAGCATTTGTTACTAGATTAAACTGTCAACTGCCTATAGGACTTCGATATATTTAGTCCCGTAATTTCAGAATTTTGTTAACAGGAAAAATGATCTGTTGCATTATACACGAGAAGAAATAGCTTTAGCGGGCCAACATGCCCACTGCTCTAGCAGGAAAGAAGTCCTGTCTCTTCTCAGGAAACCACCTTTTATATCTTACTGTGTCTTTACTTGCGCTGAACTCCCGGAGGGGGAAAATTCCTTCCATCGTACAACAGAGGTGTCCAACTCCTGACCCTAATGAAAAGACTTCTTTTATCTCTTTGTCCATTGGAGTTACCTTCGAGGCTGCAACCGGAATCATTAACAAAGGCGCCTCATTGCACCAGGATTTCACCACCAAGAATGGTAGTATTGCAATCTAAAATCATTCATCCTAGACAAAGACCCTCTATGCGACCTTATCACAACACCTCGCCTCATAGAAGAATTTTTATAGACTATGGAAGGGAAAATTTCTAAGTACTTTTCATAACAAAAGCGGTAACCATTTAAGTATAATAGAGAAGCCAGTTACTTTAACTTGCACTTATTTCTAGATAACATCACCTTTAGACCGATAACATAAAAGCAAGAATACAGCTATCGTATGCTATCGTCTTCTTCACACAAAATACCTTTCTTAGTGTACAAAATACTAATACTTAACATAAAACATTTTATTATAACCATTTTGAAAAAGAAACACACAATACAAACAATTTTGAATAAAAAAAAAGTTATTCTAGAACACTACAAAAATTATTTTCAGTAACATCGTATCCACTAGTAACATTCAGTCACTAGACTAAGGCACAACTCAAGCCATCCGTATTTCCGTGTACTTTGCCTGGCCTATGAACAATTTCAAAATTGTACTGCTGGAGACACGATACCCAGCGAGTCAAGCGAGAATTTGATCCCATCATTTTGTTTAAAAAAGTCAACGGATTATGATCCGTCTGGATCTTGAATTTTTGTTCGTCTAAGTAATGATTTAGTTTCTTCAGTCCATAAATTATGGCCGCTAGTTCTTTTTCAATGGTGCTATAATTTCGCTCTGCTTAAGTAAACTTTTTGCAAAGATACAGTATATGGTGTTCCTCCTGATCCTAAATTTGAGACAACGCAATACCTGTACCATATAAACTGGCGTCGATTTCCACAACAAATTCTTTAGAATACATCTGATGCAAATAAAACAGGACTTTTTACTAGTTTGATCTTAAATTCATTGAAAGCCTCGTCGCACTCTTTTGTCCAAATCACTTTTTCTTTTTTGTTTTTGCCCTTCAAAGCGCCTGTCAGAGGTACCGCAATACGACTGTAGTCTTTTAGGCTACGCTCAGACGGCGGCATAAAGAGCACAGAGGCGTGGTTGTAAGGGCATA